TAAGTTGTTGGTATTAATGATCTATATATTCGAGTAAAAAAATTTTGATTTTGATTATGTTTAAATAAGATCTTTAATTTAAATTTTATAAATAAAAAAATAAATACTGAAAAAATTTCTCTTACGAGATCTGACATAATTCAATTTTATATTTAATCATGGTTCAATGTAAAAAAGTCATTGGTGTTTTATAATATATAGTTTTAGTATTAAAATTATTAAAATATTATTCTTTAAGAATTTTATTAAAAATATTTTGATAATTAAAATACTTAAATTGGATTTTTTTTTACGCAATTCGTACTAAAAAAATTTTTATTTTTTATTTTTATTTTTTTACTTAAGTACATATAGAAATTTGTCTGAAACTCGTGTAAAATGAAAAGGGTTGTCTTCTTTACATGGCGAAAAAGAACAACAAAAAGAGGGACGTTCTTTTGCTTTTCTTTCACTTTTAGGAGCGTCTGTTGTAGTAAGTGTAAAATCAATAAAAGTACAGATTGATTTCCCTCTCTCATTTTCAGCAAAGCCCGCTAACTTGATTTGGATGCTTCATTGTGCTTAGTTAGGTAGAAGTAGATAAAGATCACAAGACTACATTAAAAAATATATATATATTATAATTATAATATCATGTAATATTGTAAATTTATAATATAATGTATTGTTATATAATTAAATTTTTATTTAAATATTCATTTATAATATTATATATAACCACTCATTTAATATCATATCATACTAGTTTGTATAATACTATATCAAAATTATAAAATTATAATTATATATAATTTTCTTTTCATCTTAGTTATACAATGAGAATTAACCATCTCACATCCCTTGTCACACCTCATCCATGTACCATGTAATTTGAACTCAAAATCTCTTATTTTTAATGAAAGAAAATAACCACTGAATTATTTAAGTTATTGGTATAATTATATATAATAATATAACCATGCATTAACCAAAAAAACAAAGAAAGAAAGAGTTGCTTTTATTAAGCTAATCACGACTATTTAGCTTAGTCGGTCCTTTCTCCAAGATGAACGGGGGTTATGAGTCATCAGTCGTTGGTAAATGCTATCATACTTCTCGGTAATAGTGTTGATAAAATCTAAGACTATATATGATAAAAGGGTTCATAATGTTTTGGGTCAAAATGCAAACTGTATAGATCAAGAAAAACATAAACAGATGCCCCTCGTCTAGGTGCTTATATATGTTTACCAATCAATGCTCGTTTACCGTTTTAATCTTTCCCGGCACAAACCAAAAACAAGTCAGCTTGAATGGTTGAATCCCATCAAACTTTCAAACACCCACCATTTTCCCTCCCTTTTAGTTTATAATTTTTTGTGTTAATATTGTAATTGGTATCAAATTATATATAGAGTTACATTAAACATCCATTTTACATTACCATTGTAATGATATGTTGTTGTCATAACTTAGGATGCTTTGTTGTTGCATTCATGGGGAGGATTCAAATGGTGGAATTAAAGAGACTTTGGGGACACAAATTTCTAATCCTTTTGCTTCTTTTCTTTTGCTTTGAATTTACCTTTTTCCTACTTTATGCAGTTTTCACTGCTTAGATAAAACCAAAAAAATGTCCCCCCAAAGACTTCACACCCATAGGCTTCTTCAGCCTTCATGTCAGTTCTTTGTTCATTTTCAAAGATAATGTATTCCATAACTTTGGCTTTTGTTTATCTTTTCTTCAAAAAATACCCAAAATTGGGAGAAAGAGGCAAGTGTGAGTCCACCTCCTTCCCAAGACTTTTGGTTTTGGTCTAAAGCTAGTGTTAGAGATCCGAGCTCTATCAGTGTCATTCACACACCCAATAACACTTTTTTTTTTCTAACTAATCCATTCCAATTCCAATTCCAATTCCCTTTTCTTTTCTTTTCTTTTTTTCTTATTCCTACTGCTGCCTACAAGTCTTCAGCCCCAATGCTAGCTCATGTGACCACATTTTATTACTACAATAATTCCATTTTGACTGCATCTTTCCCTTTCTCTGCATCAAACTTCTACATTTTTCTTGTATACTTATTTAATTATATTGCATTTTGAGTCAATTTACACAATTCTCTTTGTTTTGTTCAAATGAGCATCATAGGAATCAAAAGGAGTTAATTTAATCTAACTGGCTGGTTTTTTGAACAAAATTAGGGTCAAAAGTACTTAATCCATGAAACTTGAAAATTTCTTTAGTGACAAGATTTATTTAAAAAAATTTATATTGTTTGCTATCTGCACCTATTAATGGATTCTCCAAGAAGACCTTTTGTAGACAATCTAACAATTAAATATAGAGACCTTTTCAAATTACAAATTTTATGTTCAAATTTTAGAATGAATTGAAAAAAGAAAAAAAAAATCCAAATAACTAGTCATGCACTGTGATCAATATTAAAAAAAGAAAAAGAAAAAGAAAAAGAAAAACAACTGATGTTGGTTGGATTCGATATTGATGTCCACATTTCTTAATAAACTAGATTTAACTCTTAATAAATTACAAACATCATTATTGTTTTCAAACATTTCCCTAAACAAATGACTCTGAGGCCACAGCTGCTGGTCAAGGAATATGTCTTGAGTACCTAGCTTTAATTATATTCTTCCTATAAGACAGGTCGAGGATTCAACATATATCGATCCAGATTCAAGAATGCATCGATCTTAAAGAGATGCCTCGAGTTTAAAAAATTATGTGTTTCCATGTATGTGATCCTTCCTTTTCTTTTCTTTTCTTTTCTTTTTTTTTCTCTTCTTCTCTTTTTTCGTTTTTCCTATTAAATTCAAGACAATTCCTTGAGATTCACCCCTTCAAAATAAAATAATTCCACCCTCTAATTTGAAATCATCGAGGGTTTACTAAACATTAAGAAAAAAAAAATGAAGTATATATATAACAGTCTCCGTTATCCCTACAAGGTTTTTTAACACCGGAAATGGTCCTAGACATGTGCAACACCTTCAACGCCGTGGTCAGCCATCAATGGCATCCCCAACATCCGCCGCATCTCCTGTGTCTTCCCTCGGAACACCACCACTCCACTAGAGAAATTCAAAGAAAATAAAAAATGAAAACAACAAAAAAATCCCACACGTGGTTCGAGATCGGGTCCCCACGTCCCCATATCCTAATGGCCAATATTAAATGACTAATGTCGTGTAATATGGTCGATGCTTGGTCATTAGCAAATTAATCTATTGTAACTAAGCCGACTTATTGAGCTGGCAAGGTCACCTGTTTTTTTGGCTTAGGCTATGTCTTTACCAAACATTGAGTAATGAAAGGGGACCAGATGCTCGCCGAGAAGGCAATTCCATATTGATAGTTTTTTTTAGGTCATTTTTGTCACTATTAGGGTTATATATATTAAAAGCACTCCCTAGCTAGTTGATCTTAGTTTAAAGACATTGCATTAGTCAAATGCACTCTTAAATTAATGTCAGGCTGCTAACGGCACAAGTGAAATGCCTTTCCTAGTAGCGTGAACCATTTGGCATTGTTTGATTTGTCTTTGTTCCCATTTCGGTGTTTCACAGCCCTTTGTTTGTAGTACTAATTATTTTCCATTGTAATTGTCATTATTGTAAGTGAAAATCCAGTTTTGGTTGGGTGTCCGAGGGGATCGGAGATAAAGACTAGAAACTTCTCAAAACCTCTGAATTTCATCATTTTTAAATCAACTAAAATATATACAGGGTTAGTCAACATATAGTGGATTTGATTCTCACTGTAATGATAAAAATACAAGTTGGGGTCTTGAGATGTGTTCAGTTAATATCTGAGTCTTAATTATTTAGTGAAAATTGAGAACCTTTTCTCATATTAATTACTGACTATTAGATCATAACACATTACAGTAACAATTAACTTGTAATAAAGAGAGACATTTTGTGGTTGAATGTAAATATAAGATGATTGGGTGGGAAAAGGCTTGATTTTATTTTAGTTTATTTATTTAAGGTTAGTGTGTTTTTTGGTGAGGCTTTACTCATTTTGAGATTTATTTATTTTTGGGCAATTTTAAAAACAGACTCCCATTTTAGCCTAATGCATTCAAGAAATTAATTTTCTTAAATACTAGTTCCAATAGTTAAACTCTAAATCTAGACTATAAAATGACATTTATTTATCAAAAAATTCAACTCTTTGGCTTAGTAGGAAAACTGGAAAAGGCTTGATAGCATGCCTTCATTGCATGTCTAGGATTATGAAATTGGTTGCTACTACTTGGAATGCAAATAGAACTTTTATGACATTTAGCAGTTTTAGTGTAATGGAAGATTCAAATCTAAGAACTTTAAAAGTTTTAATATGTCATGTAACTAAGTAGATGGAGATCTATTTGCTAAAAGTCTAAAAAGAAAACACCTAGACAAAGAGCTGGTTTGAAAATGTTAATGAAGTACTTGGGCATTAGCTTAGTTGGTACGTGCACTTTATTTCAGTTTTTTTTTTCTTTTTTACTTACCTTTTATATCTGGTAATCATATTAAATTTCGATTAATATAAAATCGAGTTACATCAGACTCTACAAGAGGATAAACTCTCTTAATGCTTGCTTTTTCAAAGTCAAATTGAAAACTTTACTTAAAAAAACTTAATTTTTTCGGGACCAAAGTCACCGGTTCCAGTTATTAGAGGTAAGGCTCAAATCCCATTATTCTCTTTGCTAAATTGACGTGCATGGAAGAATGTTAACGAACTTCGAATGGGGATTTTAAAAATTTTTTGAACTCTATATGGGCTTGAATTTCTAAAATCTGGGACCCAGATATTATAGTTTTAAAATGTTAATGGAGTCCATGATTGAAATGAAGATGAAAACCCAATCACCATTTGGAGAAAAAAAAGAGAAAGTTATATATAAACTAAATAAATGGGCAGCCCAGAACCAGATATCGTAGGCTTTAAAATGGCCTAAAAGCCCAATACTCTCTATGATTGAGCTTAAGAACACGTGGCAAATCGGAGAACGGAAAATGGTTCCGAAACAGAGAGACATAAACCAGAGAAAGAGTATCGCTTTGCTATGATTCATGGCTCACTACCAGAA